AAAACGTAGTGATCATTTACATTGATTCAGAAACACAAGAAATACATACCCTTTTCATTCAGTCAATAACAGACACTCTAGATTAGGCCGTATTGCTTTGTGAATAAAACAGTAACTGAAAAGTAATAATCAACACAATCTGAATTAGTTAATATCACCAAGCAGAAAAACTGAAATCTTTATTTCTCCAGTAAAAGTAGACTAGATATTTCAAATAAATGAGAATCATACAAAGTACTAATTAGTTCAGCTCATATTAATATGTACTTTAGTTTATCAATTTAAGTTATAGAATCAATTATGAGGTCATATTCTCATACAGCAGTCACTATTAACTAAGTCGTGAATGATTGAAATCGAGTGATAAAAGTACAAATCAATATTACCTCTGAACAAGCGAGTTATTTATCTCTATCCTCCTAGTTAGAATTGTTAATTCGCAATAGTATGTTCTTCATTGATTTGCAAGATCTTCTCTGTTAGATCCGCATGAGAGACATTGATCGGAAGACATCAGAAAGAATAATAAAATTCTGGAATTTTCTCAGAATCAAAGTATGAAATAAACATACTGGTACAGTGTGACGTTTACTGGCAATGCTAAAACCTCTGTAACTATTTTGCAGTTTATTATCATTTGTGTTTTGTTTGTTTAGTTAGTAGATATTTGTATCACTGTATTTTTATATTCTCCTCATTGTAAATCTCAAGTTTACATACTATCTATAAAGAACGTACTATTGCGAATCAACAATTCTAACTAGGAGGATAGAAATAAATAACTCGCTTGTTCAGAGGTAATATTGATTTGTACTTTTATCACTCGATTTCAATCATTCACGATTTAGTTAATAGTGACTGTTGTGTGAGAATATGACCTCATAATTGATTAGTTAATTGATATCTAGGAGATAATTGACCTGAATTATAGGTTTCACGTGACTATCGGATTAACACACAACACAATGTAAACCGGTGTTCACTGTTCATGTACACTCGAACCAATTTCATCTGACGTCTAACGATAATTGATATCAGAAATAATTTGTTGAACAAGTCATTATAGTCAACTCTTCGTATTATGTATGTTTGTATTATTTAAAATGTTAACCAGCTTCTGACATCAGTTATTGATAACATAACAGTGGATTGCTGTATAGGGAGCGATGTATCACTTTATCCTTAAAGTTTGTCATCAAGAGATTTATTGCTGATTATAATTATAAAAGTCTGGCAACACTAAATCAACACGAATGATTCTGATTCAAAGTCACCAATTTTTCACTTCACACGAAATCGTACCTTTCACATCTTTTCTGGAATAATTTTATAATAAATAGTAATTGGAGGAGTCAACCAATTAACCTATCACCCATTTGTTTTAATGAGATTGTTCACATTTTTATTGTGTCAGTTGATCATACCGAATTTGTTATGTGAATGATTGCTTCACGTACAAACTTTCAGTACTTCTTTTTTTTCTCGGACCAAATCAAATGTGAGAATTCGTTAAAACTTTTCAGAATTAAATCTCTCATCATTAGTTCTCATGACATTTCAACTGCACAGACTAAGTACAATATGGAGAAGTTCAAGAAAAATATAAATGACTGACATTCTCTTAGGCATTTCCTAAATACTTTATGTGTCCATTGTAAGTCTTATAAGTTATTTCCGGCGTCTTATAACTTAGTACGTTCCAGAATTACCGTGATATTACTTCTCAAACTCGAATTCTGAATCGACGGTGCATATTTCAAAACACAAAAATTGTTTGCTGCATCGATAATGCACATTGTCTTTAAAAAACATTTATGATGTTACTAAGACACTCGATTACGTTAAAATTAGTGATCATCAGCAACGAATATTTAAGACATTATTTTGTCACATAGTATATAACTTGAGTAATATAGTGTATAGAAATGCCTACTTTATTACTTATTTACTTTAGAAACCTAGGAATCTCAGTCCTACGAACAGTAATTGAACTTATATCTTATAAACATTTTTATTACAACTGCATGTTCATTTTTAGGATACAAATGCGAAAATTATGTAGCCATTTAAAAATCCATTTGGATATAATAAAATTTATTTTTACTTTAAATCACATTTTTTTGAAATTCGAAGGAAACTACATAGGAACCATGAGTGACTAGTTCGAATTCCATTCAACACTGTCAAGGATTGAAACGTTGCTCTCAACACAATTACGTTGTTATAATCCAATGACAGATATTTAACAGAGACCACTCATTTTCAAATGGATCCTCATGATCTCAAAGCTTCTGTTCCTCGCTTCTTAATGAGGTCTCTTTGTCAAAATCATTTTAGTTGAGTTGGTTTTGAAGCTGTAACGTATACACAGGACATGATGTTTATATTCACACTCACTACATTTAAATAGGAAGATATCATTGGTAAGCCAGATTAGCTGCTTTACCTGATAAAAGTTGAAAATCAGCATCTGAGTTCTATATGGTCACTGATTCCACTTGAGCAAACTACAAATGAAGAGCAGAAATTTTCAAACTAGTTAGTTTAGAAGTGAGTGAATTAAATGAATGACATACGTTCAAACAATTGTTGTTAAAACGATGTTATTGAACAGCCAGTTACAAAGAAGTTAAAGTGTCAAATTAAGTTCGTTGCGTAAAATTACAGCAGCAAACTCTGTGCTATAGAAATAACTTTATTTATATTTAATAGTTTTAATTAACTAAGACAATGTTCAAACTTCTATCTCATTATACAGAATGCATATTATACAGATATCTAAAAATTCTATAAATCGCATGATATAACAGCAATGGCTTACGAGTCACCTCGGTAAGTAAAGACTAGAAACGATAACCACGTTTCTCAAACCGAGGTAGATTGTGACGAGTATTAGAGAGTAGAGATGTGTGCATGTGGTTCATCACTCCACACTATATCAGGTCAAAACAAGTGAAAATGCGAAGTAGGAGGAAAATAATTTATAGTGATCAACAGGAAATTCATTTATTGATGTGAATTAGAAAAGAAATGTGTTTACCATATAATCACAGGTAGAACTTACATAATTGCTAAGTATTCATGAAACCGGTGAATTTTTAATACGAAGCCTAGCTACATTCGATGCATTGTTTTTCAGCTATCCTGATCCGTTACATCTTGCTTACTTACTTACGCCTGTAACCCCTCGTGGAGGAGAGTAGGCCTCTCCTCACCATCCTCCATACAACTTTATCCTGGGAAATCCTTTCCAGTCCTTTCCACTTGCTATTCATTCTTTACATGTCTGATTCTAATTCTCGGTGCAGTGTGTTCTTTGGTGTTCCTCTTCCCCATTTTTATTCAGGATTCCAAGTTAGCTCTTGCTTCGTGGTGCAGTTTGATGATTTCCCCAATGTGTGTTCTATCCACTTCCAACGTCGTTTCCCAATTTCCTCTCCAGGTAGAAGCTAGTTTATTCTCTCTCACAGAAGGCTGTTGCTGATGATACCCGACCAACGGACATTCGGTGTCATACGTTGACAATTGTTTATAAAAACGTGTACTTTTTGATTATGGTTGTGGAAGTTCTCCACGTTTCAGCTCCGTGAGGTTCTCCTATCCACGCAGTCAAATGCCATCTTGTGTTCAAAAAAGTTGATGAATATTGACGAGTTCCACTCAAGTGATCGTTCAAAAATGATCCATAGTGTCCCAATTTGGTTTGTGCATGACCGATCCTTACGGAATCCAGCTTACTGATCTGGAAGTGGAGAGTGTGCTGAGTCTTTCATGACCAGAGTACAGCAGCATCGCTCCTGAATTTATCCATTTCTGTCCAGCTTAGTTCCAACGGGTTTCACTGATTCCGAGCACGGACAACTTGAATCTAGTCGTTTCTGTAGCTATTCGACTGGTCATTCCTGTCTCCCACATTGTTCGGACATTCTGTATAGCTACATTAATTGTTGTTCTGTTTGTAAGAAGAGGCATCGGCCTCATGACTTCCGAAGAATTACGGCTTTTATCATGAGGCGTCATAATTTTTTTATTCAACTAGGTGAGCAGAGCTTAAGTGGTTTAAATTGCTTATTCTGGTCTGCGTTCTTTTAAGCAAGGTTGATTTCAATGGGATGTGATCGTTGTCCGTATGCTCAATCCTCCTCCTTCACCCAGGTTTGGGATCGGCATTAACCCTAGAATGGCCACAGGTAAAGTTCCGTTGTATCTAGTTGATGGAATTTCATAAACAAACCTTTGTTATCGAGCTTCTCCACCTCTTTCAAACCAATCTCAACATTTCGAGCCTTTAAATGATCAACTAATAACTTCTTACCTGTTAGATAAATATCCCACTCTCCTGATGTCCCATAAAATTCTGCAAGCTTTTCAACAATGCTATATCCAATGCCTCCATTTGATCCAATTATTTAAACATAAGTAATCTCGGCTTCTTTATAGAAGTCACTAAAAGAGGATAATGTCTGGAGCAAATACATAGAAACGCGTTTCTGTGTTTTAAAACCACAGAGCTCATAAGGATCCAAACACGAGCGCATTTGAACCAATAATTACATCATTGAGCACTTATTTTATTTTATTTGAGTGATTATTGGCGTCAACTCATTCAATAAGGACACAACTTATCGTTAATAAATTATTGGTTAACGAATAACGGGATTATTGGTTGTATCGCGTTGTTCATGCCAGCTGTTTAGGTAATGATTCTGTATTTTCCAATCAGAAAGATGTTCTATCGCATGTACTAGAAAACTACCGATTGCAAGCATCATTATGATTGGTAGTTGAGATTTAATTAGTGTAGGCGTGTAAAGTGTTCAGATATTGCCCTGATAAATTGTCAACATATTGCTTAACAGATTTAGTTCTCATTCAGTACGATTGCTAGTCGACGGATTCAGTACACGACGGTATTTTATCCGTATTTTGGTGCTACCATGAAACTGGCATTCGTATGATGAGTTTACTCATCGTACAAATAATTTATTACTCCTCTTTAGGTAACTGGGTCAAACAAAGGCATTGGATATACCATTGTTGAAAAGCTTGCAGAATTTTATGGGACGTCAGGAGAGTGGGATATTTATCTAACAGGTAAGAAGTTGTTGGTTGATAATTTAACAGCTCGAAATGTTGAGCTTGGTCAGGAAGCTGTGGAGAAGCTCAGTAACAAGGGCCTGGATGTTAAATTTCATCAACTAGATATAACTGATCGAGATAGTCGAAAAGCGTTCCTAACATTTGTAGAGAGAAACTATCCTAATGGAATCAACATTGCAGTGAATAATGCTGGGATTGCCTTTAAAGTTGTTTTGTTCTTAAAATCTCATATGTCTTTATAGGCTGACACTCCAGAGTCACTTGGCGAGCAAGCACGAGTCACTGTTAACACTAACTTCACTTCGACTGTCGATTTCACGGAAGAGTTCATTCCTTTACTGGCTGAAAATGCCAGGTGAGCTAGAAGAATTAGTTCCTACTATTTAGAGTCGTCAACGTATCTTCTACTCTTTCTTTGTTCAATCTGATGAAACTTAGTGACGATCTGTACGAAAAATTTGTCGGCCAAATGAATCTTTTTGAATTAAAAGAACTTATGGCGGAGTTTGTAAGGTAAATTAATTTTTTCATTGAGGTTGGTGTTGAGTACTATAACCGATTTGATTTGATTCCATAATTTTATAACTCGAATTGATTGCTGTTGTGAAATGTATCTTCTACAAGTTTTCCGACATTGGTAAATTTTTTGGAACGTAAGTAGTTAATATACGAGGTGTCTTTTCTACACAAAATGTGTTTAGTCATATCTTTGAAATTTGGAAGGCAACAATTCGTGTCGCGTTTATATACTAGTTTTGTGAATTTCTTTGGTGGTATGGTTAGTTTCAGATTCTTGAAACTACAGGAGTTTAAGGTTTCATGTAACACATAGTTCTTTCTGTTTGTCTCAAATATAATTGCTTTTGCTTTGAATTTATTATTAGGTCTGCTGAGGATGGTACTTATTCTGAGAAAGGTTGGGTGTCAAGTGCGTATGCGGTATCTAAAATAGGCCTTACAAAGGCTTCATTTATTTTTGGTGAAATGCTGAAAGATGATCCAAGAGGGATTGTGATAAATTCGGTTAGTTTGTTTTGTCGATATTTTGACGATTTGTGTTTCCTGTTGTATAAATCGTTTTAATTATAGGATTAGACTTATAACAAAACTAAGAGTAGTATTTGTTGTAACAGTTGGATTATGCGGTGTGTGCACGGAGTTGTAGTTCGATTTACTTATATTTTGTACATTATGAATATACGGCGTTCTTGTTGTTTCATGTTATAAAGTTAGACACATGTTCTTTGTTGTACAGCAAGTATTGAAGGTCATGTTTCCCGTTAACCACCAGCCAGATTACGTTGTTGCACTGAATATAAGAAAGAATTAGACAGAAACTGTGTTTAAGCCCTATCATAATTAACAAATCCTTGGAGGGTGGACAAAATGTTTGTCTTATGCAGGATCACACACTGTATTTGTAAAATATGAAAATACACTATTTGTCCACCTTTCTTAAGTTGTCCCATACAAAATTCATCGTTCCTTCATGACTGTTGGTATTTCGATTGATTTCTGCTTTCCTTTCTCTTCTCTCCATTTTCCCCTTCTGTCGGTAAAAACTCTACTTTCAAGTCCTGATGTATGCCAAAAGTAGTACACAACATACTATTCATATGCGATTGTTATTAACTTAAAATTTTCTAAGCCGTAGGATCCTTGGTGTGGTATATGCTTTCGGTCCTAATGGAATGAAAGTCACTCTGTTTTCAAGAATAGTTATTTTGATTAAAATTATAGTCGGTTGATTGCAATGATTGGGAAGCACAGTTATTTTGATTCACTTCCTTGGAAATTATGCTGAAATGACCTAAGTATTATTGTGTTGTCACTTTCATAGTATCTGAAAATTATATTTGAAATAATCTCAGTGATTGAAATTTAAACAATTCCAACGTTTCGTCCAGCAAACTTATCTGGAGTTATTTAGATTTCAGCCGCTTAGATGACCTCAAATGTAATTTTCGCATATAATATCTTCTCTATACTCGGCACCAAATTTCTGTCAAACTATTCGGTTTAATATTGCCGAATATTCGTACATATTTATCATTGTACTTCAAGTAACTCACTCTGAAAAGTAAACTGAAATGTCAGGTATTCGCTCATGTAATGAATGAAATCCTTACTCGAGTGCTACACATTGTTTATTGGATAGTAATAATTATCGTTTCTTCACACTAAAACTATCTTTAATTTGTTTGCAGTACTGCTCTTTTGGAAGCAAGCTTCACCAGAAATGTCTTCGGCATCTCAATATCTCTGTATTAGGTACACCATTACTGGATGAGTGTGACTAATTTTCCACTGCTCCATGGTTTAAAAACCTACTGTAACTTAGAAATATTTAAGCTAGACTTCAACTGGAATAATCGAGGTTGTTTAGGGTGCCATGAACTTGGTTTGTATTTGCTATAATAGTTGAGTCGGTGCCTAGGGAAGGTAATTGTCTCAGTTGTTGAAGACTAAGAGTAATTAATTTCGTGAGTGGTATTGTTAAAGTGATGATTTTAGAGTTTGTGATTGCTTGGAAGTGAATGGTTTTAATTTTAACATAACATTTGATAGTTTTGTTCAATTAGATTCTATTACATTATCTTCGCGTTTTCATCATTTCGACAGTGTTGTCCTGGTTTTGTTGACACTGATATGACTGACCATAAAGGTGTGAAGACAACGGATGAAGGTGAGTCTATATCCTTATATATATATGTATTATCTGAAAAGTCAGTTGTTTTGACAGAATCACTTGACCACTATTTTGTTGAGTTCGGGAACAGCTGAGCATCAGGAGAGCGTACTATTGTCTAACATTTGGTTTTCAATTGTCGAATGTGATGATTGACTGTAACGTGAAGGGAAAATGGACACTAAAACAAGTGCAGTCGAATATAATAAGAAGAAATTATGTTCGGTCTTTAATAACATCCCATAAATGTTCCTTGATCTTTAGTCTAAATTCATAAAGAATTTATTTACTTTGTGTTGCGAAATTGTTTTCAAGATTTTTCATGAAACCCGAATATTCCCTTGAACTTTAGGTATGAAGTACGTGATCATTGTGATCGAATACCTGTAGATTTTCAAATAAACCCCCATTTAATACTGGTTTGTTTTTCGTGAAACCACACAATGGAAGTCACGATATACTAAACTCGTTTCATCTCTACATTTCATTGATAAAATCACTTGAACAGAGATTACAATTTTATAAGCTAGGGTCAGGTATGAGATCAGATTTCATAAGGAATGTGAAAAATGTACTCAGGTAGAAGTGATGTGAACTTATATTAAAGCATATATAAGTAATTACAATGTTATTTCTGATTATTCGATGAATCAATTTTCGTCGAAAATGTGTACTATTCCTTTACCAGCCGACGTATGTCAGTAAGAACTTCATATCGGATTGGGTTCACCGCAGTCAATAGGGTGGTTAGGAAAATTACATCACTCATGAGTCTTTGTAGCTGATCACTTAAGCAAAATGTTGTGCTTCTCTTGACGTTTTTAGGTGCTGATACACCGTTCTATTTGGCCACATTACCGATTGGCTCAAAAGAGCCAATTAATCAATTCGTCTACGAAAGGAAGGTGGTCAAATGGTCCAGATGATCTTCACATAAATTTTATTCTACCCAGATATATGAACAGAATGTTATTGCTAAACTTTCTTATCAACGTACGTGATGTTACCCACTTGTTTTATTAGATTTCAGATGTGAATCATTCTGTTTCTTAGTCTAATATGTTTACGAATAGAAGCGATTTCTACCTTATTATTATTATTATCATTATTATTATTAATATTGTTATCGTTGTTGCTATTCTGTGATGTTTGGCTGTACCATGTGTTGTTATTCAGGACATAGCTTCTTCGGTTTCATTTAATTTACTGGAATGTTTATTTTGTGCATGTATTTCATTTTGGTCTGTTCATATGATTCTAACGTGTTTTCAAGTAATGAATGTTGAAAATGTTTACTGTGTGCAAACTGTTTAGTGAGACAACTGGTGTTTTACTTTGAGTTGAAGCTGAGAGTGGATGGTTTATGTTTGAGTCCGCCTCCAATGAAATATATGACGATGGCGAGTTGTTATGAACAGGTGACTTGTAATAGTTTATTGTGAATTGAAATAGATTTCTGCACAAGTTTTATTTTATTTGATGAAATGTTCACTCACCGTTCTTCATTATATTATGTCACTAGGTGATTTCGAGCAGCATTTATCAAACGAACTTTTGTTATTCTACAATGGAGAGTAGTATGAATGTTTCAGTTTTTCAAGAAGATTGATTTTAAGAATATTTGTTGAACGGAATGAGATTAGTGGGGTATATATATGATTCATGATCTACATGGATGTTACGGTCGATTACATCTGGTATTACATCCTAGAGTATCGTATTTTATTTATGGTTGGCAATGTTTGACTTGATAACCTAATGTGAGCTGAGAATGCGTTCATCTGTTTAGAAACGTTTCTTAAGAAAGTCTTTTCAATTATGACAATTCGATCACCCACATATCTGTGCTAAATGCGTGTTCTAATTTCACTAGTAGATATATGCGGTTTTATATGAGATATGAATAAGTTATCAACAATCAGAGACACAGGGAATCCCACTGCTATACCGTTTGTTTATTTAGATGAAAACTTTGTGAAAGTTAACAAGATTGAATTTTGGGACAGTATGAGGGATTTCAGGATCAAACTGGTGCTTATAGAACATCTCCTAGATAGGGTATTATCATGCCCACCAAACTGTCAATAAAAAAGTCATATCTTAGTTCGTCTATCAAATTCATTAGATCCTTGAGGAAGCATGATATCTTACTGAGACTCATTGTGGACTTCCCAAACACCTGTGGTGGATCCCAGCAAAAGAGCTTATTTAAGATAAAACAATACGCAAGGTTACCAATAATATACCAAAAAAGAGTTGAAACTACAACCCTAAGTGTCTGTCTATTAGTAAAGCAAAAGGCAACAAATTACAGTTACAATATAAGTGGTATATTAAACAAAAAATGACAACACTTGTTATGAAATGAATGTTACTTGTAAGCTGCTATCTGAGATAACAACCACAAATGAGTTCACTTGATTAACGAGGATTCCTCTGCACGTGGTGGCAACAACGTCGTAATGAGAAAGATTGAATCCAATAGTATTATTTAATAATGATCCGGGCCAAAAATCGAACGTAGTGTGGGAAGGTCTAGAAGGTTGTTATAACACTATTATAATCTTCAATCAAAGACCGTGGCCAATAAAGCAGAAGAACAGACGGCGGAGAGTGTGTTTATATTTCAACCAACGTGGTAGTATATCAGTATATGTATATAACCAAACAATAATATCCGTTTTTTAACATTGATACAGAGAAGCAATAGATATTGAATGTAAATGTGGTTACATATAAAGTGTGATACATCAGAGTAAAAATGTGGTTTTTATTTTGTCGTTACAAAAGTCACTGAATATACGTGTCACCATACACCTTGACATGTACTGAGTCTATTTATTCGAACAGTATACAGAAGCCATTTCAAAATGACTTACACAATAAGATTAATTATTCACATAATTTCAAGTCAAATGATTTGATAATGTCAATACTCTATCTAACAGTCGTTCAAAAAGTGTCAGTTTGATTATGAAATCCCTTGGGTTATGTGATTTCATTAGTTAAGCGAGCATTTAGGTACATATTCAGGTACCCTGACTTGTAAAACAATACTTCTCTTCCGTATGCATGTGGTCACAGACATATAAAATTATTAAACACAGTGGGTTGTAATGCAACCGTTTGCATGCCGTTTAGGTTTTTATTGAAGCACAGACCTTGTTTCTCTAACAATAATGACTTTTGCTTTATAGTACGTTTTACTGATAACTGATTTGAAAGTGGTTCAACACAAAGCTATTTGTCTCGTCTCTGAATGGGTATGGTGATGTAAACAGGCTTAATCAGCGCTAATAATGTCGTAGGTCTCACTATACTCTGACCTTTCTATAGATTTATGAATTTTTTAGGATGAACATTCTCCATCAATGCTTTGTTCACTGACCACATCTCGTCATCACGTATCTTTTGAAAGATTCTTTTCTGTTAGTGGATTATTTAAGGTGGAATCAATATTAATCGATAAATGTGTGTTCTTTTGACATGAATTCCTTGATTAGAAATGTACATCTAAAAAAGACTATTGATATTTTAGATGAAGACTTTACATTAGCTGTTCACTTAAAAATTCTTAAAGATTTGTCACTATTATACGCTGAAAAAGTCCAGTTCATAGTTGAAGGTTAATATCTTCGCCGTATCGTGAGGGTTACTACGGGTAGTCCATTGGGGCCATTATTGACTGACATTCTAAGGCACATGGTGAAAACCTGTCTGAAGACTTGATATCACTTTATAAGAGATATGTGGATGACAGCTTTGTTATCTGTGAGAAAAAGGAGCGCATGAACTTTTTATTGCATAAACTTAGCACTCATTAAAACGACATCAGGCTTCCATATCAAGTGGAGGTAAACAACCAGGTTCCTTTCTTAGACACTTAAAAGTAGAATAACAAATAATTCAGTCAGACGATCGATCTTTGAAAAACCAAGGTCAGTATTTAGTTGTCATAGCATTTCCTAGTTTAATGCAAATGGGATATATAATATAAGGCCGATTAAATGAGATTGGTTGTACTGGTACAAACAAAACAGTGATGAAGAATGGTCAACCTGAAAAATTCATAAATCTATAGAAAGCTCACTGTACAGTGAGACCTATGACATTATTGTCACTGAAAAAGCCTGTTTACATCACCATACCCATTCAGAGACGAGATAAATAGCTATATGTTGAAAAAGGTTTAAATCAGTTGTCAGCGAAACTTAATTCAAAGTGGTAATAAAATTCTGTTGATCAAGCTGCAATACTGCTCCTAGTTTAAATGAATCGACATTGCGTGAACTACTTTGAGATGTAAGGTGATTATTGAGAGCAGTCGATAGGAAACCCTGGACCTACGTTTTGTGCTATTAGGGACTCATCAGGAATGTGTGATTGTAATATTCAGTGAACTGATGCGCGTATAATAATTCAACTAGTTCTAATAATCACACAGACGCAAACGTTCACCACTCTTAACATACAACATCGTCAAATTAATTAGTGCATGCCTTATTTTATGGCCTTTGTAAAATATTACAATAATTATAGATTTATAACTGTAGAGCCTGATGATAAAATTAGTGAAAACAAGTGTTCCCTCAAATATTCTTCATTTTCAAATATTCCTACAGGAATCTTTATACTGCTGACAAAATATATGTGAATTACCAACAAGCATCGAAACGTAGGTTATCTGTGGCGGTTAAGGAAGGGAAAGGAAGAGGAAGTGCTCCGATAGAGTGGGTAACAGTCAGTAACTGTGTCTAAAATCAATAGTGACGATCAAAAGAATATGGAAGCTGTCGTGTTAAAACCAAGATTCGAAAAATACACATAAACTGAGGGAAAATTTCACAAGTGTTAAGGGAATGTAATCACAATAATGAACAAAGTGAATGTTACCAGTTTATGAAAACAGTGAGGGAATATTACACGATATCAACTATGCGTTATACTGTGTGCTCATCGGTTATTAGAAATGTAACTGGCTACTGCATATTAGCAACAAGTAGTATAAATAATACTGAATAAATAAGTGGAGTGAGAAGAGAACAGCGAAGAATGCATGAGCACAATTGAGTGGTAATGAAAACGTAGTGATCATTTACATTGATTCAGAAACACAAGAAATACATACCCTTTTCATTCAGTCAATAACAGACACTCTAGATTAGGCCGTATTGCTTTGTGAATAAAACAGTAACTGAAAAGTAATAATCAACACAATCTGAATTAGTTAATATCACCAAGCAGAAAAACTGAAATCTTTATTTCTCCAGTAAAAGTAGACTAGATATTTCAAATAAATGAGAATCATACAAAGTACTAATTAGTTCAGCTCATATTAATATGTACTTTAGTTTATCAATTTAAGTTATAGAATCAATTATGAGGTCATATTCTCATACAGCAGTCACTATTAACTAAGTCGTGAATGATTGAAATCGAGTGATAAAAGTACAAATCAATATTACCTCTGAACAAGCGAGTTATTTATCTCTATCCTCCTAGTTAGAATTGTTAATTCGCAATAGTATGTTCTTCATTGATTTGCAAGATCTTCTCTGTTAGATCCGCATGAGAGACATTGATCGGAAGACATCAGAAAGAATAATAAAATTCTGGAATTTTCTCAGAATCAAAGTATGAAATAAACATACTGGTACAGTGTGACGTTTACTGGCAATGCTAAAACCTCTGTAACTATTTTGCAGTTTATTATCATTTGTGTTTTGTTTGTTTAGTTAGTAGATATTTGTATCACTGTATTTTTATATTCTCCTCATTGTAAATCTCAAGTTTACATACTATCTATAAAGAACGTACTATTGCGAATCAACAATTCTAACTAGGAGGATAGAAATAAATAACTCGCTTGTTCAGAGGTAATATTGATTTGTACTTTTATCACTCGATTTCAATCATTCACGATTTA